GCCTATGGGAACTATTAAAAACCTTTCCTCAAGGCAAGGCCACTGTAAATTTGACCACTTGACTGCTGCAGACCAGTGGATGTCAATGAAGATCATTACTTTATAAGTTCAAAGTGGTACCAGCCATTGGTGCATAATGGTACCAATATACTGTATTTAGTACACACATACATTGTTTGAAAATCTTCCATGATTTCCATATATATCTGTAGTTTAGCACATGTACAAAGACAAACACAGGCATTTGAAAATGGCCTCAGGACTCATTTTCTCTGGGGCCATTTCTATCTCCTTTTGCTCACAAAAACAATTTTCCACAATCCCATCTAATAACATTCTGGAATTCTGTTCTTGAGAAAGGTAACTCAGGGTGTCATTTTATTCCCCTAAAACATAGACATATATTTCATTATGTTTTATAATTCAAACTTGGGGGGGGTCTAAAAGTTTAATACCCGAACCTTTAAGGAAAAAACACTGTTAAAAGGAAGTAGTCGATTAAAGCACAAAGAAATGTATACCACATACCTAACTAAAAAACAAAAAAAAACCCAAAACTTTCCAAATTTCAAAAAAGAATAATTATGTGCTTTTCTTTTCATTCACTTTGTGATCCAACATTTTCTTTCCCTGTAAGATTGGTAGAAGAAAAAAGGAAAAAGACAAAGTGTGTTTTCTCTGTCTTAGAAAATGTGCTATTGTGGGGCTTTGAGTAACAAAAGGAAGCTTATATTTTCTGGATTTCCATTTGGATACTGAACTGGGAATTCAAGAGTGCAGGTACTCACAGAAATATATACTCAAACCAAAGTTGGCCACAACACAAGAAGTATGGGAGTGACTGAGCTGAAATGATTCCTGCAAAGCTTCTCAGTGGCACTGCCCTGCATTTTATGGCACCAAAAGAGGCAATATATTTCCATACTGATGGACTCGACAAATTATAAGATGAATTCTCCTTAAATCAATCCAATGAATTGCAAGTGTGATTTTTGGCAAAATGATGGAATGGCTTTGTGGGGGTATGAGAAGCCTCATCGACTTCTTAAAAATATCTCTAGATTTTTCTTTGTCTTCAAAATTAGTGTACTACAGAACTTAGTTTGCTTTGTAGGAGTCAAATACCAAATGTTTGACTGAGGATTTATGCTGCTCATGATAATATCCTATATGCAAAAACTTGAAAAAAAACTTTATAAAACAACTTGATGTAAAAGGGTGATTTAAAGGAAACAAAATTTAAGAGCAGTAATAAAAAAATATGTGGAAGGATACAGGCTTATTAAAATCACCTAAAGTGGTCATCTTGGGACTATACATTCCAATGATCTGAGTACAAAAATAAATTTGCATAGACAGATGAACTTGTATAGCATAAAGATATATTTTTGCGTCTCTTCTCACTCACTGCTTCTGTTCCATTTCAGATGCCTCTTATGGTTTAAACATAATAAATGTTTATTAAACATTTATTAAACCAGTAGAAAAATAAAACCCTAGACTTTATCATTTTTAAAGCAACATCCTCTATGCTTAGCTTGATTCAGGTCACAAGGCATGTGGGTAAATTAGCTTCCCAGGTTACATGCAACCTGGCAGACTCACAGAAAGACTGATGCAGTACTAAACAACTATTATGAGAATGTTTATCTGTATTCCTATAGTTTAGATAGCAGGAATTATCTATTTCTGGACACATTTTATATTTAGATAACCCCACTTTATACATGACCTTTACATTAGTAGAAAATGAGAATGTAACTGGCAAAGAGAGAAATGGACTACCAGTATGCAAATTACCCTTGCACACTCTGCAATCCCTATGCTACTGAGCTACTTCTTAGGCCTTTTTATTTTTCAGACAGCGTTTCACTAAGATGCCCAGGATGGGGTTGCACTTGTAATTCTCTTGCCTCTGCTTTTAAGTAGCTGAGATTGCAAGTGTGGACCACGACATCTGCTGATTCCTACCTCATCTGGGGGAGAGTAGTATTGGGGGTTGAACCCAGGATCACCACAGTGAGCTGTTTCCCCTTTATACATTTTTCATACTGAGACAGGGTTTTGCTAAGCTGCGAAGTTGCCCAGGTTGGGCTCAAAGTTGCTATCTTCCTGCCTTGTCCTCCCAGAGTACCACCATGCTCAGCTAACTTAAACTTTCTTTTCTCCAAAGCCAAGAACTCTCCTTGTAACATGCCTAACTCAGACTTAAAACTTTGATGATCTTGCAAGATCACAATGAACACTGGTAAAAAATAGAAGATTATAAGTAACTACTTTGAAACCTTGTATTTAATAAATTGGCTGACTGTAGGAGAAATAGACAGATAGATGTCTACACACATATGATTTATCAAAAGCAAGAAGATAATCCAGTAGCACGTGATGAAACTGAGGCAACAAAACAAAACAAAACGCCCCCCAAAAACTATCCACTGAGAAAAGCAAAGGACCTGATGGGCTCACTGCTCAATTCTGCAAGAACTTCAGGGAGGATTCAATGACAATACTCTTCAAACTTTTGAATGAAATGGAAGGGGAAGGAGTGCTGTCTAACTCATTCTTTGAAGCTAGTCCTACCCCCATACCAAAACCTGAAAAAAAAACTTCACAAAAAAGAAAAACTACACACCAATCTCTTCAATGAATATATATGACAAATATCTTCAATGTGAAACTGGCAAACAGAATGCAACCATTCATTAAAGAGATCACATGTCATGATCAAACCGGCTCCATCTCTAGGATGCAAGGATGGTTCAGTATATGTAAATCACTAAGTACAAAATATAATATAAACAGAAGCAAGGATGAAAACCCCATGGCCATCTCAATAGATGCAGAGAAAGACTCATCCAAAATCCAACCTTTAGTTATAATAAATACCCTGAGCAAAATACACACAGAAAGACCTTATAGCAACTTAGTAAAAGCCATTTATGACAAAATCCACTGTCAACATCAGAGTAAATGGAGAAAATTGCAAAGCTTTTCTCCAAAAATCAGGAACAAGGCAGTTTTCCACTCTTACCACTCCTGTTTAACACAGCACTTCAAACATCAGCCTGAGCTGTAAGGCAAGAGAAGAAATTAAAGGGATCCATACACCAAAGGAAGAACATAAACTATCCTTTTTTGCAGATGACATGGTCCCGTACATGGAATACCCAAAAAATTTCACCAAAAGTCTCAAAGAATAAACAAACTCCACAAAGCAGAAGGATACACAAAGCAACACATATAAATCAGTAGCATTCCTGTACATCAATAATGAACACACTATGAAAGGCATTAGTAAAACAATACCATCCACAATAGCTTCAAAAAATTAAATAACTAGCTATTAACTTAATCAAGGAAGTAAAAGACCTCTACAACAAAAACTATAATACTCTCATAAAGGAGATCACAGACACTAGAGAACAGAAACATATTCTCTGTTCTCGGACAAGCAGAATTAAAATTGACCAAATGGCCATATTACCAAAAGTAACCTATAGATTTAATGCAAATTAAATGAAAATAGCAACAGCATTCTTTACAGAACTAGAAAAAACAATCCAAAATTTATGTGGAACCAGAAGAGAGCCACCAACATAATCCCAGAGCCCAAGCTGTATCACAAATTGATAGTGACTAAAAACAGCATGGTACTGGCACAAAACGTACATGTAGATCAATGGAACAGAGCAGAGGATGCTGAAACAGCCGTGAGCACATGCAGACATCTCATCTTTGACAAAGGTTCCAAAAACATACTGGAGGAAAGACAGCCTCTTTAAAAATGGTGTGGGAAAACTGGTTAACCACTTGCAGAAGATTGACTCCAGATCCATATCTCTATGCACTAAAATAAAAATGGGTGAAACACATTGATTTTAAAACAGAGCAGTCTTCTGGAAGATAAAAGAGGCTAAACTATTGAAGACAGACACAGACAAAGGCATTCTGAGCAGAACTCTAATTGCATGAGAAATAATGCCAAGAATCAACAAATGTGATCTGGTTATGTTCCTGATAGGTATCTTTCCCAAAGAGCTTAAGACATCATAGGATAGAGACAGATGCATAGCAATGATTATAGCAGCACAATTCATTAAGAGCCAAATCCTAGAAGCAGCCTGTATATCCATCAGCAGCTGAATGGATAAAGAAAATGTGCTTTCTATATATAATGGAATACTAACTGGCTATAAAGAATGACACATCTGAGCCAATTTCAGGAAAATGGATGCGCCTGGAAAATATAACGTGAGTGAAATAAACCAGACTAACAAGCTTAAGTATGGTATGGCTTCTCTCATTCGAGTGAGGCAAAGTAGAAACAAAGAAAATGACAAAGGATGGATAGAAAGATACAAGGGGATGGATCTCTTGCAATAGGGAATGGGAACAAGGGCAAGGGGTGAGGAGGAGGAGAAGAAGAAATAGGAATAATAAAGATATACCATGTACAGGAACCCAATCATCCAATTAATGTCAACATTATGTGCCATAACATGAGCCAAGGCAAATTATAGCAACAGGAATGAAAAATGGGATAGAGAAACTGGAAGAGATGGGAGGGGAGGGGACCTCTGAGAAGGGGATTTAAAAAAAGAGAAAATAACACGCTATAATCTGTACATGTAACCATTTCCCAAGATGATTTTAAACTACATGAAAAGCAAAATGTACTAATAAATTTAAAAATTTACAAAAAGAATCAACACATCCAGTTATATCAAATTAAAGTTTCTTCACAGCAAAGGTAAGAAGAAACAACCCGCAGAATGGGAAAAATTGTCCTCAGATGACTAATGCCTACAATTATAAAACTCAAGAAAAATTAGACCTCCCCAAATAAAAGTCCCAATAAAAAATGGGCAAATGAAATGAACAGACCCTTCTCAAAATGAATACAAATGGCCAATAAGTATGTGAAAAATTGTTCAAAATCACTGGTCTCTAGAGAAATCCCAATTAAAATAACAGTGAGACCCCACCTTACACCAGAAAGAGTGGCAAACATCAGGAACTCAAAAAACAACAAATGCTGGAGAGGCTGTGGGGAAAAAAGAGACTGCTCTACATTGTCGGTGTGAGTGTAAGCCAGTGTAACTACCATGTGAATCACTATAGAGATTCCTTAAACAACTAAAACTAGAAATTCCATTTCATCTGGCTATGCTTTTTCTAAGTATCTTTCCCAAAGACTTAAAGACATTACCTTTCAGTGAAACACACATACCCATTATTAATAGTAGGATAAACCATAAAAGCTAAATCTTGAAAGTGGACTACATGTCCATTAACAGATGAATGGGTAAAGAAAATGTGATATATACACTCATATATATTCAAGGGAGTTCTGCTCAGATATATAGAAGGATAAACTTTAGTTATTTGTAGGAAAATGGATATTCTTTGAGACCATCATGCTAGTGAAATAAATAGGTCATAGAAGCTTCATGTATCAGATGGGTTCTCTTACACGGGAAACCCAAAGTATAAATAATTCAAACAGCAAAGTAAAAGATTACATGATACATGGAGATAGATCTTTTGCAATAGAAATAGATCTGGAGATGGATTTAAAGAAGAGGATCAGAAGGAGAAGCAAAAAGGACTAGGTTGCATGCAATATGTACCTTTACCAACTCCCCAAGATGCATGTATTTATTATACATCATAAACATTACTAATAACATAAGTTTGTTCCACCTTTAGAGTTTTCAAGTGATGGCTCTGGCTCAGAACAAAGCAAGTTGTTATGTTTCAAAGATTTCACCAATCCTCTGCTTTAACTAATTTGGGATGAGTTGTACATTATTTTTCTGCTCTAAGTTGTATTTCAGAATCAATATTTCCTATGCTTTTTCACATAAGAAGGTCCCAAGGGTGCAGATATATTCCCTCTATCATTATCCATATTCCTTTCTGGTTCTTGAGACATTTTTTGCAGATGTGAAAGTGGAGCATTAGTTTCATTGGCTGGATTCTCAGATGCCTTTTCTGTAAAGGTGCATTTTTTATTCAGTTTATTCATACATTTTAGGGATGCAGTACTGTTGCATTCATTATTTGTATCTTGTACCTTTTACATGACAGGTCTTGGTTCTCATTTTTTTCCTATTGTCCCTGTCCTCCCTTCACCCCTCTTCCCCTCCATATTTACAAACAATTTATTTCCATATTTTCATTTTCTCACATTTTTTTTCTTTTCCGTTATTACCTATCCCCTACCCTTCCCATTTTCCCGACACCTTTAGCCCTTTTCTTCCTCTTTCACATGGTCAATTACCTCAATGTTTTTAAAATAATCTTATTCTTAATCAAAAGGTTTGGAAATTAGAAAACTAGAAAAATTAAAGTTTAGCTGGTTTTATTTCTTCATATACTTAGTTACTCCCTCCTCAGTGAATTCTAAAGAAAAAAGGAAAAATAATATGCAATACCCTAAAACAAGAGAAAAATATGAACCAGGAAACATAACTTTTTCCATGTTTGTGGGGACTGTACTTAAGTATGTGCTAAATTTACCAAAACTAAATTAGATGATGCTTAATGTCATAAAGCTTTTCTCATATATTTTACCTCACTATTTTAAAATAAGAAACCCTTGCAGTACATTAAAGTCATTTTCTAAAGATTAGTAGCTGGAGTATAGACAAACTTTAAATTACAAAGACACAAAATCACCAGTAGAATGACTCAAATTATACACCATGACAGTGTGTGCAAGTGTTATCAATCTATATGAACTACCTGTGTTAAGTCCACTTGTAACATGTTCTAGCTCAGCACTAAGGACAGTGGATGAAAACATTTTAGTAATAATTATCAATTTCTTATATTAAAATGAAAGAAGAAAGTTATTATTTGTACCCTAACCCCAAAAGTATCATTTTGGAAGGCATGATCCTCTGAATTGGGTTGATTCTATGACACCTCAGTGTAGACACTGAATCTTTTAGAGACCAGGAGGCAACTGAATCTTTAACCTAGAAATTGGTAACATCAAACTCCAATGCTGAGGCACTTGGGCAATCACTGTGTGAAACTCAATATTGTCACTGTTGCATTGTTTCTCACATCAGAGATTATACAAGTGGAAGCACAGACCTTGTTCAGAAAATATTTTGGCTCAATGCTAAAGTTTAGCTATAAAATACTAGAGATTCTTAGAATAGCTTGTCCATAATTACCAAAATTATAAAGAATTAAATTGTGATTTACTGAATCTAAAGACTACTCTTTTCTTTACTAAAAGAAAAGTAAATGCGTCTGGCCTAAACTGCCGTATTAAAGCAAACAAAACAATATTAAACCAGGCATATAAATGTAAAATTTTACCCACCTGCTCCTGGATATTTTCACAGCCATCCAGCCTTTCTTGCCCTTCTTCTGGTACTTCTGAAAAAATGCATATACAAAGGAAAAATAAACTATTTAGAACGGTTACATAAAAAGCAAGAAACTTTATAAAATAGAAAATAATAAAAATTAATAATACAAATTTATTTTCCAAGTGAAGAATTTGAATTAAGCCTAATTTTTAGTTGAATGTTTCAGAAATACTTTTAATTATCCCCAAATTAACAAATTATGTGGAAAGACATTAGATAACACCACATGGAAGACATACAGGTCTCTTAAAATATTCATCATGAATTCATCCACTCAGCACAGATGAACTCTCAGAAATGTTTAAAATACCACAGAAATACGAAAATCCACACTACACATTATTTTCTACCTCATCACAGCTACTTTTAAAGAACCCAGTAAGTGTGTTATCATTAACAGTCTCTAATACTACTATTATTTGTTTATAATCCGAGATGTCTTCGTCTGCTTTTCTGACTTTTTTTTAAAATCCATTTTGTAAGACTCAGTCTGTGATGTGAAGTTTTCCTTGATTATGATTATTTCCCCTAGATACATCAGTGTCTCTTCTTCTGGGTTACTTTAATATTTTTCTCAATATTTCTTCTGTATCTTTACCACATGAACTACAAACATGTCTTTATTAAGTTAAGCCTTTTGCTCCTGGACTGGATGGAGCAATCTTTGCAATCATCTTTGTATACATAGTCTTCCTTCATCTTAATCAAGGATCATTGAATTCTTCTAAGTGCTAGGCAGTGAGGTTTAAAGAGTATAAATAAAAGCTATCATGGATGGATTTTCTAGAGGTAACTCCTGAGCTCAGAATTAAAGTGAGTTTGGCTAGACAGAGGGCAGGAAACTGAGAGTACAAAAGCAGTAGCAAACGACCCCCAAAAAAGGGGGGGGGGAACAGAGGTCGTATTTGTCTAAAAATGGAGGGAGGGCAAAGGATAATAATCACCAGCTGTTAGTAAAGCCACAGATTGATGAGGGCAGACAAAGGATAAGGCTGAAGATGCAGAATTAGAGGTCAGATCATGAAAGCCTGTAGCTAACTGTAAGATGCTCAGACATTAATGCTTTGAAGAGTGGCTCGTGGTCAGACTTGTTTTGGAGATGAATCACTCTAAAAAGTGATGAGGATGAGTGTGAGGGCCATATGAGTAAAGCGAGGCTGATTAGTGGAAGGAAAGAGTGCTAAATAAATCTAGTGTAGGCCTGCACCTCTTGAAGATTCCACAAATGCTGTGTGCAAAATTATTTCAGGTATGAAATTATGGACACCACTTGTAGAGTGAATTTTTATTAAATGAATAAATGTTTTAATCTGGGTCCCTGGAGAACTAGACTGCTCATCACTTTTCAAAAGTTGTCAAATGAGATGTGAAATCAACTACCTGAATGTGTGTAAGTTGCTTCAGTTTACTTTGTAGTTCTGGTGTCATCTTTTCCTAAATTGAGGGAACTCATTTAAGTGTTCTGTTTAAAATGCCCTGCCTCTTGAGTTTACCAAGGTCATCCTCACATTAAGAGCTCAGGGTGTAGCTCAGTGGTAGAGTGTGTGCTTGGTATATGCAAGGCTCTGAGTTTACTTGAGTTTAAAGCTCAGCAGATGAGAGGAGGAAGAGAAAAAAAAAGTCACTTGTATGGGTAGATAACTTTGGATTTACAACTTATAGTCACCACTTCAGAAACTGACTTATAATCTATTACGTTGCAAGAGTTTTTACTATAGACATAATGACATGATTCAAGGCATTAAATTAACTGGTACATAAAGTACAATACATATCAGATGCCATTAGTCAATAGACCATGTGTCCTAGTAACTAATTTTTATTTATTTATTTCTTTTGAAAGATGGGGTTTTATTATGATGTCCTTAAACTCTAGGGCACAAGCAATATCTCTGCCTCAGATTTTCAAATAGCTAGAACTGAAAGCATATATGCTGTTCCTGGCTAGATTTTCATATATTACTTTTCTTTTTAATTTTTCTTTCAGTACTAGGGATTGAAATCTGGACCTTCACTTGAGAGGCAAGCGTAGCACCACTGAACCTGTATTACTTTTAAATGATACAGTACTCCTTATAGTAACAGATACCTTGGGTACCACTGACTGAGGAGGACACAGCTGAGGACATCCTATATAGGAAATTTTCAATGATTTTGTTTAATATTGTGAAAATCAATCTATACAAATACAAAAATTGTAATAATTTACTATGTGGCTTTGGAAGGTTCTTTGTTGAGTTACTCTGAACACAGTTATAAATAATACTTGTGAGTTTAGACATGCAAAAATACAGGTGTTCTGTGTCTGAGTAGCAATCTGTAGATCTCTACCTAGTTGTTCCATCAACTCTTGAAGCTCTAAGTGTCCTGGCACCCCCTCTCAAGTTTATGCTAAATACTTGTCTGAACCAAACTGTTCTACCTCCTAATTTTCTTTACTATTTGTACCTTGCTTTGGTTAGAATAAAACCACTTGGGAAAAGATACTGTTTGGTTGTTGGCTGCTTAGGAAGAATAAACCACAAAACCCACTGCACCACCAAATGCTTTCTGCAAAGTTGACTACAGTATTTAAAATCATGCAGAGGTGCTCCGAGTTCTCTAGGCTTCTTTATTACATTTTTATGCTGTTTCTGGTTGCTGTGAGTCATACAACACAGTGAGTACAATTCCCCAATAGAAAAACAGCTCTGACATTCATCTTCTTACTTATTAAGGTTGTCTTCCCAAATATAGCACTGCTTGTGTGATATTTAGATATTTGTCATCAACTTTCAAATTCCCTGATCTCTGATAAGTCTTATCACTGAGACTCAAACTCGTTAAACTCCAAAGAGTTTCAGAAAAATCTGACAATAAGATGTAAAGAATAATAAAAATGTAACTAATGTGAATACATTCTTTCCCAGAAGAACTCTCAGCCCCACAACACACTATAGCCTAGAGCTTATTGTACTTTACAGTTCTGTGAGTTTGATCATCATTGTCACATCTCATTTTCTTTCACTTTTAGTATAACTTTGACTGATCCAGCAACCTTTTGTACACTTGGTTTCCCATACTCTTTACTATTAAATATTTAGGAATATGAATTTTAGTAGAAAATTTAATTTCCACTTTAAATATACACAATATTCTCTGTACATTCTAAAGACATTTATATTAATGAACATGCTACTTTATGTTTTAAAAACTACAATTAATTATTCTTTCTCCAATATCCCAATATCTTCAGAATTCACTTTTTCAAGCTTGGATAATACCATAATTTATGTGAGAAATGGTAGCTTTAAATGACCCAATTGTTCCCACTTAAAACTGAGTTAGTCTAGGCCAGTGATGTCCTGGCACATGTGTGCAAGTGGGCTGTTTGTCATTAGTGAGAGCTCTGAAAAGTTCACCCTCATTGGTCTAGGTCCACATTAAATCCAAAGATTACAGAGTGCCAGAAGACAGAAAATCAAAGTGTAACCAAAGCATGTCCTTTTTTCATAACCAAAATTGTCTGACTTACACTTTTTAAGAAAAATGAAAAAAGGAAGTATGGAGCCTAATAGTTCATAGTGAAGGAATCCCTATACCACGAAACTTTCACAAACCTTATATGTTGTTTAAATGGTAGTTAAATAGTGAGTAAGAATCCCTAGAGTTCAACATCCATTCAAAGGGTCTAAGAAAACAAATAATACCAAATATTGTTTGCCAGTGGTGTTTTCAAACATGTAATATGTCCTGTGGCACAATTCTGATGATTAGTGAGTTGCAGCTCTAAAGGGTATTGGAATGTGTGACTTCATGCTTGTATTTTCCCTCCTTCCAATTTAATTGCTAGTAGAGTACATGGGGACAGATCCGACCTATTCAAAAAAAGCTGTGTATAATTTGTACTAATTTTAATACTATAAAAGTCCTTACAGCTAAAAATTGTCAGGATTAATGTTTTGAAGGACTGATTATATTCCCAATTTTTAATGACAAAATATGAGATAGCATACATACAAACTCATATACCCTGTGTTAGTGAGAACATCTATCTGCTTATGATCATCAGTAAATTGACAATGAGATGAAATAATTAAAGTTGAAATACAGTTGACATGTTAGCGAGCAAAGCTTTACTCTCGGTAAGTATCAGAATTCAAGTAAGCATTTTTTTGTTGTTGTCGTATTTAGAAAGGGGATCCTGGGTACCAGTGAACCTCTTGCCACAACCTCCTGAGTAACCTACAGAGACCAGCTCTCCAGTAAGCATCTGCCAATGTTGAAAACACCTTGGAATCTTGTAATAAGCTCTGTGGATCCCTAAACTGTAGATGTTAACGGTAGTGAACCATAAGTAGAAACATCTTAACAATTAATTTTTTTCTCTTATGCTTGCAAACACTTTATTTGCAAAAATGGACATCAACAAGCACATCTGAATTACTTCTGTTGAATCCACCCAAAACAATGGGAAAAAAATAATGAGAAGACTGTGGGCATCTCAAACATTTTAATGTGCTGTACTTTCCAGAGTGATCTATATTGCAAAATTGACCTGAGTTGCATGTCCGTAAATCCCGCTTTGCTACTGCTTTTTTCCGAACAGGATTTTTCCTTTTAATGGCAGGCTGAATGGGGTTTGAAGTGAGATATTAAATAAATACTATGTATTTCATGAAGCATGTAGTTAATTCAAGATATAAATATAAAGTTATTACCTTCAAGGGAAGACATTTCTCAGGTGGTTCTACAAAGCAAAAGGGAAGCATAATCAATTTGTGTAAATATGAGAAAGCCAAAGATACATCCATGCAGGATTAGCATGGAGCTGAATCCTCATGCTCTGCTTTAGCAGTGATTACTTCAGATTTTGTGTTTACTCCCC